ATAAACTTCAAATTTTTTAAATGATTTCTTCTATACATTTTATCAACAAAGTGAAGATTTTCAACCAATTGCTCCATATCTCAGTTCGAAAAACATTCCTTTTGAAACAAGGGGTTTTACTGTGCTGATGGTTGGGAGGGGGTGAGGGAGAGGTCGAAGATGATTACATCTACCCACGGCTTATGAAAACGAGAGCAATTATAGGAGCAATGTTGTGGTTAATGAAAGACCAATATTAATGTGGAACAAATAGCACTTTACATTTCTAAATGAAATTGATAAACCATTAAAAATATAATCCTGGAAGCGTGTAACGCGTTCAGGCGTGGCGTTACTACACAGAATAGAGCTCGGCGTGGAATACTATCTTCTGCTCGAAACGTGGTTTGAACTTGCACACAACTTACGATGTATATGCTTATTGGCAGAGTAAGTAGCCAGTGCTACTGTACAATGAACATTTCTGGACCTGAGAGGCCAGAGAGAGGCCAAATATTCCGTTGCTTTGCTAAAGAGTGTCCAAGTGACTCTCTGTTGCGCTCTAGATAGATGGTCTACCCTCAAGCGCAGACATGAATACAACCTAGTTGGAACTCGCGCCATACCTGCCAGGAAGGTACTCTCTAACAGGGTCGCAGATTTCTTTATGTGCACTTTCGCTCTGTCGAAAAAATAACATCATTTATCTAGGCACATATTTGTGAAAATGTAATGAAAAATCAGTCTGCAGTCCTGTACCTGAGCAACCAGCGAGTGAACATTTAATGATTGATACTGGTTATTGTAGCCTGCGTTAGATGTCCTTATAGCATTTTATACGTAAATATATTGACCACGAATCTGGAAAGTAGTACTAACGCGTTTCGAACCTAAAAGCAAACAACGGTGTCCATATTTCGAGCCTATTTGTAATTTTTATTCATTGCTAAATTTCGACGGTTTCGGACAACATGTTCTCTCTTCTTGAGATGCATTGCAGCCGATCTCTAACATGGGCCCCGTAACTCGAAAGCATCGCGTATTGCGGAGAGCGATAACACATAGAGGCTAGGTACAATGTATACCATGGGGCGAGAACGGGCAAGTAATGGAAGCGAGACGCTTGCACTCGGTCGCAATGCGCGAGTTACGGGGCCCAGGACCCCATCCTATCAGCATGTATAAATGTTGATATAGAGATATCCTGTGGTACCATCCTACACTATATTGTAGGAAGGAAGATTCACATTACTGTCTTACTTCATGCCTTAAACGCATCACAGAGACTGAAATTAAATGGCAAATATTCTGCCCAGGGGAGGGAGCAACCAGATGGCGGCTTATGTTATGTTATTATATTCTGTTTGCAATTTAATAGCACTGACAAAGGATTTTATAAATAAAGAGTTGCCTATAAAGGTCGTCTCAGAAATTTTGTTATTTTGCCGTTTTTAATGAGAAAAAGACGTGCAATGCTGATGTACATGTAAAATTTAAATGTTTGACCACATAAATTGGAATAACTGATGCAGAAAAAGTTAAAACTTAAGAATGACAACCACTAATTACAATTTCATCTGAGCCTTTCGTGAAGCACTTCTGTTCATCATATGTTTGGATTTTAAAAAATGTTGATCAGCAACAATAAACGTTGTGTAATTAATTTCAAATCCGACTTGATGAATGATGTTTACTTGGATCAATTCACCGTTGTACATGAACAAAGTGGAGCTGAGTAAAGAAAACAATAATTTGATCACCCCATCCAAACACTACACTATCTTAATGTTCATGAATGATATCTGTTTTCATGCAAGGCCTTAAACAGAAACGGTTTAATCAAAGCCGTTGTAAAACAAACAACAGGATGTAGACGGCGGGTTTGTAGGGTTGATTCCGCCACGGCAATGGCACATTTGTGAATCTTTTTCAAAAATAATTTGACTTGCGCTATTATTTTCAATGTCTTGTAAGATAACACCCTCCAATATAAAAAGAAATCAGCAGTAATTTACGTAAACGGATAAAATTCAATATGTTATTATAACACAAAATATATGTCTTACTGACAAGACTCAAATATTCTTTTTTTTTCTGTGGAATGACCCCTACATGTACAGGCCCGTAGACAGCAATTTCAAAGGGGGGGGGGGCTTTTTTTATTTTTTTTTATTTTTTGAAAAAGTGGACAATGAAACCGTTGTTTACCTGGATCAAATGTTACCCAGAACGGACCCTTCCCCGCCAAAAAAGGCGGATCTTTCGAACACCCCCCAACCCCCGTGGCTACAGGCCTGACGTAGCTCAATGTTTAAGTCAAACGATGAAGTCTATGTAAACCCTAAAGTAACCTGCCTTTCCCTGATCTGACCTCTGCACTCTAGGCTTCCATGGCAGGTGAGTGCAAAGAAATCGTTTACTTCCTTCAATTAATCTTAGTACACCGTAGCTAAATCGTTTTTGTTTAGAACTTGATACAATCCCACTAGATTAAGTTTTATATTTCGATAGGCTCAGTTGCTTTCTCCTTATTCCTTAACCTACGGAGTAAAAGGTAAGAACAAGTAAATATCTACCGTCTCTTTGACGTGGCAGCAGTGTTACTTTGCGACATATATTGTCAACATGTCCATTATTGCTATTGTAATTTTGATGGCTGGAGCCTGCCAACTTGTGAGTGCTAAAAATGTGGACGACATCGCCTTCAACAAACTGGTGGATAGGTTTCTGAGTCTGGAGAAAGAAATCAAACAAGTGAAAAAAGAAAATCAGCAGCTCAAGGTATTGTAAATTACCAATTATGTTATTTTTACATTGACATCTTTTAATAGACGCGCTTCATTTGCATATGTTTTGATGACTTTGTGAAATGTGCATCTACGTATTATCCTACTCAACTAAGGTTTTTCAAAAATGCTCCTTAAGATGTTATGTACGTTAGCAAACTGTTCGCAAGTTAATCCAAAGTCATTTCCAGGATTCTTTGAAGAGCCTTCAGTTAGTCTTAGATCATAGCCCCAGTGGTGAAAAGGAAATGTCACCAATGAACGACGAAGCATCTGGTACATCTGGGACGCAGCAGAGTACGTGATATTTTAGTAACTGTTTCAACTGAAATTGGTTAGGCAATATTAAAAAACGAGATCGTCATAGTCTCGTATGTATAAGGACGTATCTTTGGTATGCAGGGATATTGACTCATTTACACATTTTGTCGACGTGCATTCATAGACATTTTTTAATTTCATTTTTATGTACTTTTTTATTAGTCGTTATTGTTTGTTACAGATTATAGCGCATACACGTGTGAAATCTTTTATCTTCCAGTGCTTTCAAAATACGCTAATTGTGTTACTGTTTTCGAATAGTTATTAATATTATGCGTCCTTTTGAATCGTTACGAATTATTCGACACATTATTTTCCTATCTTTCTTTCATATCCTTTTTTATTTTATTTTCATGAAAAACATAAAAAATCTTTTATTTGCTTATTTTCCCATATTAACTCCCACTTCTACATTTTCTCGCCAGCAGCTGCCGTGTGTCCCCGGGCATGCAGGGGACTGCCAGGCAGGGATGGCAGAGATGGGAAACCAGGCAGAGACGGGAAATCTGGTGATGATGGGAAACCTGGCAGAGACGGTAGTCCTGGGATAGAGGGCAAACCAGGCAAAGACGGCAGAGATGGTATACCTGGGCAAAACGGAAAAGGACTGCAGGTGAGAAATAATAGTTGAGTACAGCTGAAAAAAATGAGAGAAATACCCTTTCATCATAATATTAATTATGCCTTTTTTACACTGTATTTTACAACAATCTTTTTGAAAACGTTTTGCGAGATTATCAACTACGTAATAGAATCACTTAAACACGACCAGCAAACCAGATTGATTTACGCTATACTGTTAACAAATAAGGCAAACTGATCTTTGTCTAATAATTTCTTTTCAATGTGTTTACAAAACTAAAAGGATGTGCAGAAAGAGCTCACTTCTATATTCTGTGTTGTTGGTAGGGTCCTCCTGGTCCCTCTGGTCCACCTGGCCCTTCTGTGACAGACGACAGAATCAAACAACTTATAAAAGAACATGGTAAACTTTTCTTTCCGTTTGAGTTATATTGCCTTGCATTTATTAGCCCAACATCAAAGTTAGGTTGGAATTTCAGTAAGACTGTATAAAACTACAAAAGCCAAAGAAATATATATATTTATTTAACATAAGACATGTTCAGTGATGATCTTGTGATATTCAACCACCCGATATAAATAAAATAAATGATATCAAACAACGTGATTGATGAATTATTTCTGATAGGTTTACCACCTAATACGACAGTGGGAGGAGCAGTGTACACGAGATGGGGAAGAACTAAGTGTGGTGCTTCTTCTAAACTTCTTTATGAAGGTAAGAACTACAAAACTTGTTGCCCTTAAATTTGAATCTCACTTTGTTCATTTCATCAATATTTATATTTTTAGTCGAATTCACAATCTTAAATAAATAGATCAATAAATCCGTCTATTGCCTCGCATCTGGTGAAAATATTCATAATTTTTGTAGGTTATACTGCTGGTTCCTGGTATGAACATAAAGGTGGCGCTAGCAACTACATCTGTCTCCCTCACGACCCACAGTGGGGCAATTATCAAGATGGGTTCCAAAATTCTGGCACAAAAATTTACGGCACAGAGTACGAAATGGGACACTATTCCAATGATCCTTTCCAGAGGATCAATTTTGGAGGCAAGAATTTCAAGGACCATGATGCTCCATGTGCTGTTTGTTACACCCAAGGCCGCACCAGTCATGTTATGATACCAGCTTGGAAGACATGTCCTGCCGGGTGGACGCGAGAATATCATGGCTACTTGGTTGCACAACAAAATTCACAATATAGAACTGAATTTGTCTGTCTTGATGAGGCTCCAGAAGTAGTTGCAGGTGGTGTGGCTAACAAAAATGGTGCTCTTTTCTATGTGTCAGAAGCTTACTGTGGTCATTCTCTCCCGTGTCCAAAATATGTTCATGGAAGGGAGCTTACCTGTGTTGTGTGTTCCAAGTAAGCCAGGTGTGGTTCAAATATCACTTGAGTAGCATACAACTATTAGTAATTCTCATAATATTATTCAGACCACAAAGCAATGAGAGGTCATGTAAGACAATATTCAGTACTCTCTCCCCAATCACATTATAATGAGTACATATTCAGCTAGATCGTCTATTATCTTAGACTTTAAAGTCTTTGATGTAAAATGTTGATTTATTTCAATTAAACGGAAGGTTGTTTGTAATTAGACATACGCCAACATATGAAATGAAAACCACTGGCCAATCAAAAAAGGTACCAGTTAGTCTCTTTTCCTCATTAACAATGATTTATTGTTTTTTTAAATTAATCATCCAGAATAAAAATTTGTGGAAGTTTAAAGAATTTTAGTATTTCTATGTGATTTGTTTATTTACTTTCTAAATTAGACTGTATAGTTTTTTTTTTTTTGAAACAAGGTCCAAATCTGTAAGGCTGAGAAGTTAAGCAATTAAATACCCCCCCCCCCCAAAAAAAAAAGGAAGCATTTAGACTTCACGAACTTCAAACCATTTACACAGCCCTATTACATACACATCAATGGCCAGGTACCAAGAGAACGATTACATGTTTTACATGTAAATACTCCATCAGCCAATTTGTTGATTTCTCCTAAACTTAAGCATACCACCTTGTTTCTACAGCCTGAAGAACTAATCCCATGAGAGGAATGTAACCGAATCTTTGTATTCATACTCAGTCCGTGCACAAATTTTCAAAATAGTTCCTGGAAAAAAAATCTGATATCTGTCTTCAACAAAGATACGATACCGGATAAAGCGCGCTGCCTGTCATTACAATGAATCTATGTATGCTCACTAGGGGCACACACAGGAGATAACATTGCCCTGGAATAAGCTGTAGCCGTTATAGCCACAATACATTAGTTATGCACACTGGGGCATGTATTATAAGATAACATAGCCCTGAATCTTTTCTATAAATGTTATCAGCCCAGTCACCTGAGTCAACTGTTGGTAGAATTCCAAATTATAAACTTCAAATTTTTAAAATGATTTCTTCTATACATTTTGTCAACAATGTGAAGATTTTCAACCAATTGCTCCATATCTCAGTTCGAAAAACATTCCTTTTGAAACAAGGGGTTTTACTGTGCTGATGGTTGGGAGGGGGTGAGGGAGAGGTCGAAGATGATTACATCTACCCACGGCTTATGAAAATGAGAGCAATTATAGGAGCAATGTTGGCGTTAATGAAAGACCAATATTAATGTGGAACAAATAGCACTTTACATTTCTAAATGAAATTGATAAACCATTAAAAATATAATCCTGGAAGCGTGTAACGCGTTCAGGCGTGGCGTTACTACACAGAATAGAGCTCGGCGCGGAATATTGTCTGCTCCTCGAACCGTGGTTTGAACTTGCACACAACTTACATGTATATGCTCATTGGCAGAGTTAGTAGCCAGTGCTACTGTACAATGAACATTTCTGGACCTGAGAGGCCAGAGAGAGGCCAAATATTCCGTTGCCTTGGTAAAGAGTGTCCAAGTGACTCTCTGTTGCGCTCTAGATGGTCTAGTCTCAAGCGCAGACATGAAGACACCCTAGTTGGAACTCGCGCCATACCTGCCAGGAAGGTACTCTCTAACAGGGTCGCAGATTTCTTTATGTGCACTTTTGCTCTGGCGAAAAAATAACATCATTTAACTAGGCACATATTTGTGAAAATCTAATGAAAAATCAGTCTGCAGTCCTGTACCTGAGCAACCAGCGAGTGAACATTTAATGATTGATACTGGTTATTGTAGCCTGCGTTGGATGTCCTTATAGTAATTTATACGTAAATATATTGACCACGAATCTGGAAAGTATTACTAGCGCGTTTCGAACGTAAAAGCAAACAACGGTGTCCATATTTCGAGCCTATTTGTAATTTTTTATTCATTGCTTAATTTGCACGGTTTCGGACAACATGTTCTCTCTTCTTGAGACGCATTGCAGCCTGTCCGGAACCACGCAATTTTAGATATAAACGTAATTTAGACTTGAGCTCGAAATGCGGACACCGTTGGATACTTTAGTTAGGATAACGCTTTAGTATATAGCCTTCCAGATTCGCGGTCGAAATCTTTACGTCTAGACGCTACAGAGGAAATCCACACTTCATGCACTTCTTATCACTGGCTTCTTAATGCGACAGGTACACAAGCCTTACTCAGCCTCTTCAAAATTGACACAATGTATTATGGAGAATAATAAAAGTTATGACTTGAAATTATAGACATCGTCCATGAATTATTAAATGTCTCCGACAAGCCGATCTGACCCCGTCCTATCAGCAATTACACATATGTTGATTTCCCCCAGACTCCCACATATCATCTTGCTACTACAGCCTGAAGAATTAATCCCGTGACAGGAACGTAACCGAATCTTCATATTCAGATTCAGTTCGTGCCACCCTGAGCTTCAGAGTTAACTTGACACTAACCTTTTCACTGTAGCCTATCTCCATCGTGTCAAGTAACCTCTGACCAGATTCGATTGCCTCCGCCGCCCGCCAATCAAATTTAAAAGCCCGCACTCAATGACTCATTAAACGATCTAGCCAATGAACGCGAACGAGTCAAAGCGCGCTTTGTTCAAATCCGGACCAATCAAAGATAAGACTGAATATCAGGGACTTGCCGTAACCTGTGGGCAGCACGCAAATAACATCGTCTCTCAGTAGATAATGATGCATGGCCTCAAACTGCTAGACCCTATGGTTTCAATTCCGATTTACTCATATTTTGCAAAGAATCAAGAGATAACTTAACACATTCTTTTTCGTAGTCACTCGCCTTGCTTTCTTTGTGTACGGTAATACACTCGGAACTACTCGGATGTCTCCGCACTCGACAATAACTTTGTTGTTAGTATGGAGCTTGCGGAATCAGCCGAGGATTGCCGATTGACGGTCAACCAATCAGCGTTTTCACTTAACTTTGGTGAAAAATTTTGAAACATGGATTTGATTGGCTTATATAAACTAGGTCAAACTATTTTCGTCAGAGGTTACTTGACACGATGGAGATAGGCTACAGTGAAAAGGTTAGTGTCAAGTTAGCTCTGAAGCTCAGGGTGGTTCGTGCACATTTTATCAAGAAAACTTCAAGGAACAAAATTTGATATTTTTCATCAACAACAACAATGCAACTCCCGATAAGGCGCACTGCCTGTCATTACAATGGATCTATCTATGCTCGCTAGGGGCCCACACATGAGATAACATTGCCCTGGAATTTTCTGTAGATTTTATGGCCACAAAATATTAGCTATACACACTGGGGCATGCACATAAGATAGCATAGCCCTGAATCTAAACCAGAAAATTTGTCAAAATGTATCAACGCAGTCACTGAGTAAGTAGAATTCCAGTACAATGGTATTAAAATTACAAAAATGATTTCTTATATCGATTTAGAAAAAAATCTTCATTACACTAAACACACATTTGTGAACATCTAGTGAAAAAGCAATCCGCGACCTTGGTAGAGGGTACCGCAAATAGTCTAAAAGGCCAAAAAAAAAAAAGGGGGTAATGTGCCATGAATTTCGAACGGCTCTTAAATATCAAACGTTCTTAAAATCGGCCGTCTGTGTGTGTGTTTTTTTTTTTTTTTTTTTTTTTACTGAATTTCGACCAGAAAGCAATTTTGCACGATCTTGCTTTTCGTGAATTTCGTACACCTTAAAATTCGACCATCAGGCTTTTTTCGGGCTCATAAAGATTGAATCACTCAGCATCCCACGTGCAACTAAACCATGAGATGATGAGCACATGGAACAGGACCTGGCCCGTGATGACCCCCAGGAGCAAAACTGCAGGAAGGAAGAAGCACGTCTTCTTGGAACTTCCTAAGTCAATAGAAACTGTGTTCACATTCCTTATCAGAAAATTACAAAATTTCAGAAAATTACATCCAAGGCGGCCAGGGCTTGAGCGGCAAACTTATTGCAATACCTTCATATTGAGCCAATTAAGGCCCGGTTCCCATTGACATTGGCAAGTAATTAAGAAACTCCACCCTAGACTTTTAACCACTTACGTTTAACTAACCCAAACCTACGTGAACCTGATGGAGCCCCCCCCCCCTCTGTTACATTAAAGAACTAGAATCAAAAGTTGATGTAAACTAAACCAAATTTTCTGCCTACTTCGAGATAAGTCTAGGAACAAAAACAAAACACAAAATGAAATAAGAATATATTTTTAATGTTTTAACAATAAATAATATTCAGTAAACATATTTTCGTCTGAAGTAGTAATCAGAGCCCATCACGTCAGCATCTGCAATTCCAATGTTACAAATGTTATCACATTAAAATATTGTTCCCCTTAAAACTTTATAATTACGTATTGCTTAGAAATCATTAAAATATTCTCATTCTGCATAAGATTTATTCAGTTTTATCATACAATCACCTTAGACATTTATAAAGGATTATAAAAAAATAATTTTCGTGGAAATTTTAATTTTTCTTCTCTCCACACAGTACCCCAATACTCAAAATCATTGAATAAAAATTACGATCCATAAACTGTTTTTTAATCACTCTCATTATTGGAAACTATTTAAAAAATTACAATTTGGAAACAGGTTGATATTTCTCTAATTCCTCAACAGGTTGGCACAGAATTAACTTGATGGTTTTTTTTGTTTTTTTTTTGGGGGGGGGAATCATTTTCAAAAATTTTTTTTGCTATCTAAAAGTCTAATGCACATTGCATACATTATGAAAANCTTAGAAATCATTAAAATATTCTCATTCTGCATAAGATTTATTCAGTTTTATCATACAATCACCTTAGACATTTATAAAGGATTATAAAAAAATAATTTTCGTGGAAATTTTAATTTTTCTTCTCTCCACACAGTACCCCAATCTTCAAAATCATTGAATAAAAATTACGATCCATAAACTGTTTTTTAATCACTCTCATTATTGGAAACTATTTAAAAAATTACAATTTGGAAACAGGTTGATATTTCTCTAATTCCTCAACAGGTTGGCACAGAATTAACTTGATGTTTTTTTTTTTTTTGGGGGGGGGGGGGGAATCATTTTCAAAATTTTTTTTTGCTATCTAAAAGTCTAATGCACATTGCATACATTATGAAAACAACCATAATGCCTTTTTTCAATTCAATATTACTGTAAAAGTCATACGGTAATTAATGTTAACATGTAAAACACACCCAAATCATATACATATTTAAACCAGCATATTGTGTCATTTCATAATAATCATACTCACATCTTCAATTCCAATTTTAGAACTGCATATTTTCTGCACTGGCATAACAATTGCCATTTATTTTTCAGTGATGCCTTAGAAAAATAAAACATTATTTTGTATGATTGCATGTTGACAACAGCTACTTCAAAGTGGTTACTTATAAAATTATCTAAAAAGCCACTTATAAAACAAATGCAATCCTAAATACAATACCACCAGGTCTGTAATTTCATCTAGTATCTAAGAGGAGTATTTAGGCATGACTTACTGTAACAGCATTCATATTGCACATCACAAATCTGTGCCAGCTTGCAAAAATATGAATAGAATGTTTTTCAACACATTTTTTCTTTATCAACATTATCAGCAATAAGTTTTAATTGCATAATTCATATGAACAAACAAAGAAACAAGTTTTTCTGATGTAGATCAAGATTCTCCATAAAACACAAGAACTTCATTCTTCGTGAGTTTTATATCAATTGCAGCAAAAAGGTTAGATGAACCTAATGATAATCGATTAATCAATCAAAATTCCCAGACAAATTTTTAGGAAAGTCTTTTTTTCAGTTAAACCAATTTACGTGTACATGAATTACATCTAAAAATGAAATAACTTCTCATAACAATGTTTAAAATAACTGTTCATATAGCTCTACTAAAGAAAAATAGATTTACATCAAATAAAATGAACACTTTGTTAAGAATGTGTAAGAAGTAGAAAGAAAGTATACAAATTAGAAACTTACAGATATCAATTTTTCCTCAGCTCATCTTAAAAGCATATCCCAAATACACAGTACTCACACTAAACTTTCTGTTTATCAGCATAATCATTAGCTATAAAACAGCCTATATAAGTAAGCACACCAACTTTAAACTTAATTCTTATTTATATGCTTGATTCATTAGAAGTCCTCCAGGATTCAAGAAAATGGTGTTCTACCTCTTCCCAACCTCCCCGTAACAAGTGTCACAAACTCTCACTGGCTTCTTGGAGGATGCAATTGTTGCGTTTCTGCTGGAACACTCGTGGCAAAAGATCTGGCCACAGTTACGGCAGTGATGCTGAAGTGGAAATAAATGACAAGTGACATACTTTATGACAAAAATTTCTGGACACAGTGATGCTGAAGTGGAAAATATTAATATTGCGCAATAAGGCTTTTAGCTGCAGAACATCCCAGGTATAAATATTTCATAATATCTAAAAATTTTGCTCTCTCTCTCTCTCTCTCTCTCTCTCTCTCTAATGCAAATCAAAATTATCCAAACCTCATTTAAATTACAGTAATGGTCCAATTCCAAAAACTTTCCACCTGGTTATAAACGAAAATTAAAAAAATAAGAAAATAAATCAATAACTATTCATAGAAGCCATTATCTAAAAACTCACCCTCCTCACAGTGACAGAGAAGGGTTTACTGCAGGCCTGGCACTCTAACACTTCACTGTCATCTGCCCACTTTCTTGTGACCACTTTAGTCGTCTGAATCTGAAATATTAGGAACACTTAATATGTCATAAATTGAATAACTCAATTCCCAGTCCCAAGATACAGCCTGTGGCATGTGCATGTAAACTGCATGTTGTCTGTTTATTGTGTTGAAGTGTGTATTTTTGGAATGCATAAAAAATATGGGTAAAAAATGTTTAGGAAAACAACTAGAAACGTGTACAAATTAAATTCAACTTGTTGATAAAGCATCTAATCTGATATTAATGGAGGTATTGCCATTTATTAATATTGACAAAGTTCTGAAAATTATTAATCCAGATTCAGGGACCAGTTTCACAAGAGAGTTCAACAAATAGTCTAAAACAAGTTTTCATAATATAAACTTTTAGGAATAAAAGTAGTTCTTATAATCATAAAATAAACTATATATATATATATATATATATATATATATATATATATATATATAATTCCTACTCCTACCTGAAGCACCTGGTTCTCTCTCCCCAGCTCTTGTAGCGCTGCTGTGGTCTCTTCAAACTTTCTCCTGTACTCTGCGACCTTTTGTCTCAACTCCTCACAGCTCTTCTCACTCTTCAGACATCTCTCCAGCAGCGCCCGCCTCTCGTCATTGTTATTTTCTAGCTTTGCCTCCAGCTCTGCAAATAACCCAGAAAACAAAGAGTGCATTCAGGACAGATCTGCAGATCAAAGAGGGCGATCCACGAAAAAAAATTATCACCTAATTCACAATTAGACACTGAATAATTCCCCACGGGGGTTACACAACAAGCATTCAAGTGGGTCAGCCATATTTGATCCCCAGATCTGTAAGTCCACTGTTCTGAATGTGCTTACAGTTCTACTAGTTGGTTACATTTATATGATGAGGTGCACCTTTCAATTTTCATTCCTTTTATATAATTATAATTAAATTTATATATCTATCAACGAATTCAATGTTGGATGCTACAATTACCAAAATCTATGACCTGTATCAAATAAGTTTAATAAAGGTTAAATGGCCACAAGCTGGCCTGTGACTTACCTAGTTTTTCACCCCTAATTTCGTCATTTTCCTTGGTCAGTTCAGAGTATTTCTCCTGGGCCACCTGAAGATCCAGGCGAAGTGTTGCCAAATTCTCATTTAGAGCTGAAAACTGCATTTCATTCCTGGTCTCCAGTTCTTCCTTCTCCTTGTTGGCATTTTCTCTGGCTTCTATCTCTGCAGCCTGAAAATACCAAGTTCCCATGTTGAAGGAAGCTTTGAGATGCTGTTAGAAATTAAGTATTTCATATTTAAATCAGAGATCACTGTTTGTACTAGTGACATTACATGTATTATATACTACAATATATTTGTAACTGGATTAGTTCTCTTTTCTCCTTATTATTAATATCAATCCTCGACTAAAATCCAAGTCACCCAGTGCAATACTGACTGATACATCACTGATAAAGTAGCCTTAAATTTCTTAATGAAATAATTTGATAGTTTTAACAGAAGCAATTCATTTTGTTTTAAATTATATTTTGGGTCACAACTGTCAATCAAATACTAATTTACTATTTATCACTATGTAAGAAAAATTTGAAATAATCTTGAATTTTGCACAGAAAATTTTGTTCTGCCATAAATGTCTGTACTACAACTGTTACAGTAGGTGATGTCGGCACTAGCCCCACTCAAAATGCCAGTTAAACTAAAGCCGGCCCAGTAAAATTTGGTAAATTTGTTCATTTACTGGCCACTGCCCCTGTTTTAGACCAGTAGATTCTTAGACTGGGTTCCCATAAACCTATCGTACTAGCAAGATTGATCTAACCCCGAGGGGATTCTTGCTACATTGCATTCATCTTAAGTGCCCTAATAATCTGTCACACCCTCTGAAACTGCTGGGGGGGGGGGGTAATTAACTTTCGCTCATGCTTAAACTTAATGCAATTTCATGAGAAACCCCTCTAAGATAGATCAATCCTGCTAGTTCGATAGGGTATGGGGATGGCCTCTTAGACTCAGGTGGTTCAAGGGGCCAGTACATTGAGAGGGTTTTTTATCATATTCTGAAATAATCTTTAACAATCATACCAGCTTATGCTGCAGCCCAGCATTTTCTTCCTTCAACATCATCTGAACATTCTTGGCCACTTCTGCACTTTCTTCTTTCTCAGCTTTAACCTAAACAAAATACAAATCTTCAGTAAAATACAATACATGCAAGTAAAAAATTTAAATAAATACTTCATGCCATTTACTGCCCATGGGTGCAATTAGACTTAAGTTTTCTTGAAAAAACAGGCACAGGCAATCTGTGATGAATTTGAAAGACAGGTCTATCAGTGTAAGTGGTCAAGTCTTTACCATAAGTAAATAATTATAAAAAAAGATTTTTAGATAAAAAATGATTTTAGCACACTAACACAATTAAGATAATTTTTGCAATGATACATTTGTCTTTGTTATTTATTTGTAATTTTTGGCTAGTTTTATCTGAGAAATAGACAGTCTACAATCTTTGGGCAATCAATTATCAATTTGTTCAGGTTTAGATAAAAGTACTAGAGGAAAACGGTGATATAAGTTAACATATCTTTTATCTTAATATGTGAGAGGGGAAAATTTAAAGGTGGGCATAAACTTCATTACTCACCTAGTAATGATGATGACTGGGCACCACATAATGCAGCCACTGCTAAATCTGCAACATACTTTGTCTAAATATACTGAAGAAAATAAAGAAGGATTACCTTATTCATGTCTTCCTCTAACTGGTTTATTTTCCCCTGCAGTTCCAACTTCTGGGTAATAAGTAACTGCTTGGCTTCTTGCAGACTATTAATTTCCTGGCATAAACAAATGGGTAGTCAGGATTGAAAGTGGGGTCTTATAACAGATACTGTACTATAATACCCAAAATATTAGAGATTGCATAACCAATAACAGTACTTTCAATCGAAGTATTATAGATTGTCAATAACAAAGTATATATATAGTACTAAGGCCCTTACTAGAATATGAAAAGATTATCCAAGAGAGAGAGAAACTTACATGTACATCACAATTTAATCAAAATAGATATAAACAAACAAACAAACAAATACTTGACCCCAAAAATGAGCACAATTTGTTAAGTCACATCATCATCAAATAATAATGAAAATACTTGATTTGCAAAAGAAAAATAAAACTGCAGGCTTTCGTGTTCACGCACATGCACCTACTGGTACATGCACATACATACCTGTGTGGCATCTTGGCGGTCTTTTTCTAACGTGACTTTAAGAGATGCAAGTTCAGAATCCACAGCCGCCTTCTCCTCTGTCAAGCTCTGATACTTCTGCTTGAGACCATCAAGTTCTCCTGAAATTTGTTTCTGAAAAAAAAAAGGTTTAAATAATACAACATACAACTTTACACAACCAAACCAATGAAATTGTATGAGCTACAGTTTAAAGGGCACTGGTTTTATATCTACTTATCCCCCCCCCCCTCCAATCCCTAGCTACTAGTATCAATCTTCAAATTTTCAAATATAAGTGATTGTTCTTATTCATTTATTTGAAAGTGTTATCAAATTAAAAAAAAAAAGAAAAAGAAACTGAAGTAATTGTAGTCACTTGGTAACAGATGGTGAGCTTCAGATGGCAAATCTGAAATTTTCTAGCTGTAGCATATCTTTCATCTTCAAAATACTTGCTGGAAAGTTTTCACATTATTCAGTCCCATTCTGAAAGTCATGTGCTAATATTATATCAATTTCACCTTTTCCTTCATAAGTCTCTCTCTCTCTCTCTCTCTCTCTCTCTCTGAGAGTCACGTAATAAAATCAATGTTTATTTTTCCTCTACTAGTGAGTCTCTCTTTGAGAATTATGTTACACTGTAACCAATCTCACCTTTTCCTCCGTCAGCGAGTCTCTTTCTGAGAGTTATATAATACTGTAACCAATCTCACCTTTTCCTCCGTCAGTGAGTCTCTTTCTGAGAACTATATAATACTGTAACCAATCTCACCTTTTCCTCCGTCAGTGAGTCTCTTTCTGAAACAGCCTTGTTCAGGTCTGTGTCCAGTTGTAAAATCCTGCCGTCCAACGAGGACTTAACCTGAGAATAGAACCAGTATATAACAGGGGCGGATTTAGGCCGTCTTCTGGAAGACAGTCAGATTTTCAAGTTTACATTGATGGGTTTCTATTTTTTTTGTTGGAAGACAGTCAAAAATGGAGGATGGATCAATAAAGATAATTTGGAAGACTGTCACAAAATCTCTCTGGATCCGCCCCTGTATAACACTATTAGGGTTAAATAATAAATATGGTTTTCACTGTCTCTTATGTAATGATGGTAACAGAGATTTTTGTCATCAAAAAGCCAGGTGTTTTCAATCAGTATGGCATGATATGCTTTGATCTTTCACCAAAGGGCCTTGATCAACTTGTGAACTCCCGAAGTTCAGATGTCATCATAGACAGGATGGGGTTCCATCTCTGTCATGGTACACAAGTAGAAAACACGCTTTGTCTCTTTGAAACGAGAAAAATAATACATTTTTGGCCATTTTTTAAAATGTTAGGAAATATTTCTCAACTTAATTCAATTCTAAAAGGACTTCATAGTAAATTGGACATCAAATAAAGGAATGAATATGATAAAATTCTTCATGACAACAGCTGATCTCACCTCAGAAATCTCCTCAATTGAGTTATTAAGCGAAAGTTCATTATCTTGAGCTTTCTCCAATTCTGCTGTAGCATGCTGCAGGTTTTCTTCAGTCTCTTTAAGTGCAAGCTTGGTGTTCTGTAGCTCTTTCTGAAGTTTGTTGACTTTTTCATTTTCATCCTATTATTTGAAAACATGGAGGATCAATTAAGCAGTAGGTACTTTTAAGTTAATGCAGATTATTAATTAAAACATTCAGTTGAGACAATACAGTCATGCGTCATTATTTTCCAGACATATTTCTGTTCTTCCAATGTCTGTTCTTTGAATATCTGATGGTTTTCGGAATAAAATATAAATACTGGTCACTTACTCTAAATTGCTGCTGCAATTTTACAATTTGTTCTTCATAATTGCTACACTCCTTTTGAAGTGTCTGAATAGAAAACAAAATAATAAACAAAATAATAAAAACAAAAAACAAAGTATTTAAAATATACTATGGTAATATACTACGGCAAATTATTGTGACATGGTTTTATACTTGGCAGAGAGCAAGAATTTGCTATTGCTGAAATGGTAAACCAGGAAATGTTTAAGGGGGGAGGTGTTGGATGGGGTAGGAGAAAACTAAAAACTAAGCACAGTGGTTTTTATATATAGGCCTATGGGGTAATTGAAATCACCATACCACTTATAAAGCAATAAGATGTTTATCAAAACCTATCGAACATATGAACAAATATGCCCTGTCAAGTATAAAACCAGAGGCTCATGACTGAAATGATAACTGAAAATGGCTATTTGCCTTGACTGAATAAATCTGAAAAACAAAAGAAACCATCAAAGATATTATTGCCAGAAGTATTGTTTCTTTATATTTATTTACCTTATACTCAGTTATCTTCTTTTCTAGACTGGACTGAAATTCTTGTTCTTTAGTCTGTAATTTTACTATCTGTAAAAAGAATTGACAGGACTTCAACATTTTGTGTAAGCAAGTATTTTTTGAGTGTGAGCACGCAGGAAGGGGATATTTCTTAAATTCACATAACACAATCTATTCAGAATTTTTTGAAAAACACAATAAATATAGCACTGAACACTACAGCATATCTTCATTTTTCTTTATACCAAAATTTAAATAAGACAGAATGCTGATAAAATGATAAGAACTCATTCCTTTAAATTGTAACCAAATACATTTCAGGAATATGATGCATATTATATACAAATTTTAGAAATGATCCCTTCATCACCAAAGTATACCCCATCCAAAACTCTTCAAAAATTTTTTTTTAGAATCTATAACTTTTAATTCCATTCGCAAGTTTTAATTTTCTACTTTTTATTGTCATTTTCCTGTTTCTATTTCCATTATAGGTCTTAAAAGCTAAAAATAGGGGTTTATGATTGTAATTCTGTTCTCGAGATAGCATAACTTGGTACGTCGAAAAAGAAAAAAATGTTTAAATGTCTAAGAAGTTAAACCCTAACATTCACTGTGCATCTTAAAAATGTAAATAGACATATCGAAATTAACTACAAACATTACACATTAGAAATAAACATATACAAAATACTTAAATATTTTAAAGTAAAAATTATTTCTGACCTGGAGAGCCAGTTTCTCTTCCTGCTGAGAAGACTTCTCTTGTAACTGTGAGACTTTCTGCTCCAGATCATGTACATTCTGTAACAGGCCAGTCCTCTCCGTCTCCAGTTCTGACATCTAGTGGTAAAAAATTTTCAAAATCTGTTTATTTTGACTATCTGGTATAAAATAAATTATTAATTCCTAAAATATATCTAAATGTACTTAGGAATTCATATATGATAATTACCACAAGTCAAAATACTTTCATACTATTAGCTTATGGCCTACCTGCCCTTCATAAGACATGGATCCAACTACCAAGCTACTGATCATTTTAACTTACTTAGGAGTTATTCTTCTTTTTTTTTTTAATAAATCGATTATTTTTAGTATTATTCTGCAATTTTACAATAGTAATACCTAAATTTCTGCAATATGGTCACTTTATTTGCCTTCAGCCAAACTCTATGCATCTTTTACTATCTTAGTTACAGATTTCACTTTCCAAAGAGCTGAATAATACATCAGTCCCAATGATCACAGATACATTTTCTTACTTACTGTGTGACAAGACGTGATGTTTTTGTCTTACCTTTGTTTTTGTTACAGCTTCACCTTGTGACTTCTGTTCTAGAGAAACCTGCAAAAAATAAGCTGAATGAACTACAAAAACCTCCTAAATACTCGCAAAATATACATCATGCAAAATTACTAACAAGAAACACCTGTTAATATTGAAATAAAAACTGTATTTGCAAAAAGACCCCTTTTGTTGATGAAGCAATTGCAACTGAAACAGCCAAATGACTACAATACAATAAGGTGGTGATGTAAAATTTACTAGAATTATGGTAAGAACCAAGCAAATAGCATATTTAAGATATTCGAATCTATATATCCATATTTAAGATAATTGAAAACAAATCTTCTTCTTCTATACTACAGTATAATGGTATAAATTGTTCAAAGCAACCAATGCCAATCTGCTGTCCTGTCCATACCTTTAGCTGGCTTACTTCTTCACCTAGCTGCTGTATCTGTGTCTTCAAATCCCTGACTGAGTGGTCCCTTTCTTCTCTGGTCTGCTGCACATGGTCAAGTAACTTGGTCTATAAAGAACCAATACACCAATGATTGAAAAGCAAGATAGCAAGGCTCTCAAATGTATAGACATTAAGCAGAAAATATGTGAAAATGTAATAGCCCAAAGTCTCACAAATTAGCACAAAATTAAAAGACATTCTGCTTGATTTAGAGATTACAGTTGGCTGGACTTATCCATAGATTTTTTTGAGCATTTTCTTCTTTTGAATTATATTTGTGCATATGTCTGTATTGCTTTCTTATATGACAAAATCCCCAGCACAAAGAATTCATGGTGACTCTCCCACTTTTTCTAGTCACATACGATGCCATGCAATATTGCCTCGGATGATGCCTATACACATAAAAGTAAACAATTTGACTTCAGTAACAGAATACCTTTTCTTGATTCAATTGTTCCTTGGTGTCTTCAAATTCCTTCCTCAGTCCTTCCAAGGCCTGTTTGTAAGAGCCTACCTCATTAGTCAGTTGAGATTTTACCTGTAAAAGTTCCTCTTTCTCTGCAGCCATCTGGTTCAGCTGTAAAAGAAAGGAAAACATCCTTACAAAACTGAACTTAAGAAACAGGAATAAAGCAAGAGAATACTTGAAAAAGAGGAAATCCTGAGGTCTCTCCATCCCCTGAATTTAGTTTTAACTATTTATTGTTTAAATGTATAATAAAGACCCCAGAATTTAGCTAGTATATAACAAAGAAACTAAGATTTCTATTACAAAACTTCATTTAATTTTTAAAGTAAAATGGAAAACTATTCAATTTAATTTTGATTCAGATACCAATACATGTACATGCATACCTACAGGCGAAGGCTCATGATAAATTTTATGCACGTGAGCATCCTTGCATGTGTGTGCATGTGTGTGCATACACATGCACCCAAGCATGCATGATGATATGCTCAGTATAACTTTATGCAGGATTAATGATATTCTAATCACTACCTTCTCCTCCACTTGCTGCTTGGCATTTTTCACATCTTGTACTGAAGTTTCTAAGCTCTGCCTAAGTGACTCCACTGTTGTTGTGTGTTCTCTCGTTACCTAAGGACAAATAGATGTAATGGTTGCAACCTCTTGAATATCTCATGATCAGTTCAGCTACAGGTAGTCTTCTTAAATGCATATTTCTGATTTCATACAGATTGAATTTGAATCTTATCCAGTGTTGATTTAATAAAGCAGACTTACTTGAATATTGATAATGGGAGCAGGGCTCTTTTTTTTTATAATCATCCTGCGAGCTTGCATGATTACTTTGAAGTTTTACACATGTGTCTTCATCTACTTGCACTCAAACACACACAAATTTCTCACTTCTTCTAGAGCCTGTCTTGCTCCCTGCAACTCTTCTCCCTTTAGCTGAAGATCTCTTTTAGCATTTTCCAAATCTCCTTGCAGTGTCTTCCCTAGAGCAACTTGGGTTTCTAGTTCCCTAGTCTTAAAATTAGAAACCAACCTTCACTTTATGAATTTTTTAAAAATTATGTATATAAACATGCACAATATAAGTAATTTCTAGAAACAAGCCAACAGATTTAAAATCAATGCAAAAGTAAGCAGATTTACTGATACAGTAACATGGTTATCTTTGAACTTATTAACTTTGCTAAAAATGAAAAAAAAAGTCTACTTCATTTTCACCATTAATTTCATGACAAATTGGCAGCTGCTCTATACTAGTTATGTAGAAGCAAACTATATGGGAGCATTACACCCAGGCCAGTAACTTAAGTTGTTATATAATCTTTATAACATTCCCTGTCTGCTACACAAACCATCATACAATGGGCAATAAAATTGGCGTAAGACTTGAAAAAAAACAATAGAAATCAACAGTTTTTTTAACGTGATAAAACTGATGTACATATTACAGGTTTTTATAATTATTATGTTCCATTCTATAATCTTTAGATTTCATCTTTGAATTTTTCTAAAGTTTTGACCAGACGTTGCACTTGTAGTTTTCTGAAGTCTCTATGTAACAAGTAAGCTGATAGGTTCAAGGAGTAGACTGCATCCCCACTAGCTTCCAAACTCCTGTCACAGTATTGATTTAACATTCCTCTCACCTTGTCCCCAAGCAGCTTGGTCAGCTGGTCACTTTTGCTGTTACTTTCTGTCTCCAACCTTTGACACTGGACTGTGGATAACTCTAGGTCAGTTGTCAGCTAAAATTAAGGAAAAAATATTTAAAGGATTGGGATATCATAAGATATGTGAAAAAAAAAAAACAACCACAATTTCTATTTTATTTTTTGGTATTGTAATATACAAGAAATAAGAAAATATTTTTTGTTATCATTTTTCTTTTTCATATCAAATAAGGTTAAAATAAAATAAATCATATTAAATGAAAGAATAAGCTTATCTATTTTCCCTAGGTTTCAAATTCTTATGAAAAAAAGCAAAAAACAAAAAACATAGTTGAAATGCCAGCCACTAATCCTAGTTACAATTATACCTTTTTCAGGGAGGTTTCTTTCTCTTGTAGCTCACTGGACACAGCTGACAACTTTTGTTCCAACTTGGATTTTTCAGCAGTCAACTTCTTGTTTTCAGCATTCTAACAAAAAATTAGAAAAAGAACAAATTTGGTGAATATTCATCATCCTATTTCAGAGTTTCTCTTCCTTACTGAAACTTGACCAGACAAGAAGCTGTTTTTGCATGATTGTAAAATTACCTTTCCTTTCAGTTCTTCAGCAGTTTTTTCAACTTTTTGTTCTGTGGTGACCAGCTTCTCTGATATTTCTTTCAATGTTCCTTCTGCTTTGCTCAGTTTTGATGACAGTATCTCATTTTCTGAATTAGCCTGCAAAAATAACCCTTATTAAAATTTATTGTAGTTTTACCCTGAAAGTCAACCTACCAGCAAACAAAAACTTTCTGTTCATAAGTTGAATTATAGGAATAACAACTTTTAATTTTGGTGTGAAAAGTCCCACATTATTATTATTATTAAGTGGTTTTCCTGGGGTAAAATATGTTATAATACTTACCAATGATATTCAAAGTTAGTTGATTTTGTCAAGCGTGTTTTTGTAATAATTCCTTAAGAGATTATAGCCTTGATAACCCTGAAGATAGCCATGTATGAAGGTCCAAGTACTGATGGCAAGTACAGATTTCAAAATTACTGACATTTTTGTGGTAAAATGGAATTTACTATACTTCTATGTGTTGTTTACAAGTATTTATAGTGGAATGTTGAATCTCATTTGAAGAGTTGCTATGCCATTAAGCTTTACAGTGAAAATATATTCTTTTACATTGCTGACTTAAACACACTTGACATTTAAAAAACATAAAGCAATCTGTTGTTTTAAACAAAAAATTACATCCCAGACATCACATAAACTATAATTATACCTTTGAGAGAGAGTTCTCTTTCTCTCTTCCATCACTTTTAGCAGTTTTTAATTTCTTCTCTAGGTCTGCTTTTTCACCTTGAAGTTTTTCCAAAGCAGTTACCTACAAGTTCAATTTATAGCCTTTAAAATTACCATATTAAAATGGCAATAAATTAAAGATTTTGTTTTCACCAGTGATTGTTTGTTCATGGACAAGACATCTCAAAAAGCTCTGAATAAATGTTTATGAAATTTTCCGTAAAGACAGTTCTTCAGAAGGGAAAGAAGTGATTACATTACTTAAACTTAAATCTGGGGCTCATACAATTTTAATAACTCTTTGTTTTTGTCCTTAGTTGAAGACTAGGATCTTGAAGTGCTCCATAGTTTAACAGGTTGTCAGTATATAGATCACTATAGCAAAACTAATAGTTGTCCATATTGTCACAATGTTTTAACAATTTTTAACAATTTTGCAATCAGCCATGGTAAGTTACTAACAGTCACTGTAGCAATTTGTTACAAAATATGGAAAATATGGCATTTTAAAATAGGCCAGTGGTATTTTTGGCCCCCAAAAAGTCAGAAATATGCCGATTGTTGAAAAAAATCTCATCCCTGAGTGTGTCATCACCTTGCTGGCAATATCTGCCTGTGCTGCCACACATTTCTGCTCCAGATCATTGCACTTGGTTTTGGCTTCCTTCAAGGTGACATCCAGCTGTCTGCACTGGTCACCACGGGAGTTCAATTCACCTGTCACCTGAGGCACAGTGAAGAAAAATTTACACACAGGTTAAAAAGGTGCACATAATATATTTTAAGTTTCTGGGAAGTTTGTCTGAAATCAAGCCATACAAATTTTAGAGAAAATCAGTTAGTGGAAACTATATTGTTTACATGTTATTTTTTGTATTAAACTTACTTCATACAGAACATAAATTATTTTTGAATTAATTCATATCATATAGCTCAAAAAACACTTTAAGCTCTATCTGCTTGCTCCAGATACTATCTTTTCCAAATACCTGTTCTAGCTGCTGTTTGATGGTGTTCAGCTCCTGAGTTTTCTCCTCCAGTGCTGCCTGTGTGGTCTTGATGTGGTTCTCCAAGTCAGCTCTCTGGCTGCTCTTAGCTGCTTCTGTGGCCAGTAACACTTCATGCTGCATAGTTAAAGAATTATATGAATGGATGAGTGGGTATTTTAACGCATGAACCAATACACATTTGTCAAAGTAAAGAATAACCCAAGAAAAGAATGAGCAAATGAACAATATGTTTTCAAGAACTGTTTTCAACCTGAAATAAAAAAAAAATAGAAAAAATTACAAAATTACCTCAAAATTGACAGCAAACTAAATAAAACCAACCTTGCTCTTTATCTCAGTCTCCAGCTCGGTAATCCTTTGTTGCGCAGATGCCAGTTTCTCCCCTTTCTCAGTCAAGCCCACCTCAGACTTGGCGCACTTTTCCTGGACATCTGCAAGCTGTGATTTCAATTCTTGGAGCTGCTTGAACAGGGTCTCTTCCTTCTTCTGGCTCTCCTCACCCTGAGTTTCCAAGGTCTTCTTTGCATAAGTCAGTTGTTCATGGAGAGTTGCCTAAAAAACAAGTAGGAAAATTACTGAAAAATGACATTCCTGGAAATGTAAGACTATAAATGCAGTAGAATTCACAGCTGCACAAACTTCCCGAAATTTTCAATCATGATACTCACATTTTCCTGTTTAAGTTGGTTGATGGCAGTGGCCACTCCCTCTCCAGCTTCTATCTATAAATAGGAGAAAAAGTTACTAAAATCAACAAAATATAAATTCTGTAAAAAAGTTCACAAAAGCTAAATGTTGACTTTTTAGTCCAATATCCTTGAGATCAGCTCCTACTGTAGTGACATTGGGCAATTTTTATGCAGCAACATTTACATGTTTATCCCAAAATTCTTTGTCCTACCACTACGAAAATATCACCTTTGCTATAAGGTCTGTCTTCTCCGTCTCCATGCGGTCTATGGTTTCCCTGAGTGAGGACATGATGCCTTCCAGCTCTTTGATTTTGGAATCCCTGAGTTGAATAGAAAAAAGAATAGAAAAAAGGCAAATTCACCAACGAAACAAAGAACATGTAGAATGAGGCAATATAATAACACACATGATAAGACATAACTGTATGGTTAAGTAATAACCTTCATGGTTCCAATTCTTCTTTTTCTACAGCATATAATAACATTATAACTCTTATACAAAACATACATCACAAAATGTAAAGCACTTTCTCAAAACTAGTACTTATAAAAGATTATGGAAATTCCAAATGAATCCTGGAGAAGAGGAATAATTTTTTTTTTCTTTTGAGAGAGCCAAAATCTCAAATTTTAATTAAAATATCAAAGTATAGTCAAAGCATATTTCAAGATAATGTTCACTATACTAGTAGCTAGTATTTATTTCTTTCATAAGCTATAAGCATTTTTTGCAATCTAATGCAAAGTATAACACTTAGCTATCAAATAGTCTACTAGTTTTGTTTTCTCTTCCACTGATAACTACCTTGCTTCTCTACTTCTTATTTCATTCTCCAATTCCCCGGACTTCTCTCTCAGCAGAACTTTGAACTCCTCGGCTCTGGAGGACTAAAATGATCAATTGGAAACCAGGAAAATTACACTGAGCAACTTAAACTGCATGGTTATGTCATAATAGGGAGAAAGGCAGAAATGAATAAAATAATACACATAATGCAACAGGGTTTAGCTGAACTCATTACAACATGTTTTTCAATTTAATTTCAAATTTTCAATTTTAATTTCAAAACTATCTTCTAGTGACTCTTAATCCTTTGCCAAGTGTATACCTCTTCCTGGTGTCTTATGTGAACATCATTTAGCTGCTTTGTCAGATCCTCAATACTGGCTTTATGGACCTTAACTTGGTTTACAGTCTGAAATATAATATTAAAATAAATAAATAAATAAATAACCAGTGATACAAAAATGCGAATAAAATGAAGGCATGCATATTATTCTGGGTCAATAGAATGGTACTAAAAATTACAGCAAAATTAAAATTTTGCTATTATATAATGGTCTAAGAGTGCATTCCCAGAGATTTAGATAGATCCATCCAGATCGACCTAAATCCCTGGGGGTTTACGCTAAATTGCAGTCAGCCGAGCCGCACTTACAGCTTTTATTAGGTGGGACAGACATTTAAGCAGGCTAAGCTAGTGAGACTCCCCATGGGGATAGATCGATCTAAAATCTGTGGGAATGGGGTCTAATTGATAATTTGTGTTTCACTAGTATGCCCTACCTTGTCCAGTTCCAGTTTCAGAGCAGTGTACTGCTGCTCTCTCTCATGTAGCTGCCCTTGTGAAGACTGTTTGGTGTCCCCGAGTTGTTGAGTTAAAGATGCCAGATGAGTTTCCTTCTCTGCCATAGCTGCCTTGGTCTGAAATGACACAAAATATGTTTCAGGTATTAGAAAAAAATATATTTAAATTTATTAGTATTTCATAAAATACAACATCTTAATCTTACTCTAACAGATGTTCATTAACTCACAATGGTAAGTCATCCCCCTTTTTTCTATTGTTTTATTCTATTTTTGGAAAGTTTTCTCTTTTTTATTTATTGCTTACATTTTATATATTTATTTTTATATCTTTATTTTATATATATTGACTAATGTATTGCTAGCATCTGTTACTATTTAAAAGTGAATTATGAATATAATCATATTAAATTACATTCTTCATAATTGAAAGCTATGAAACATCTATCATAAAAAAAAACTTGGTACACTGTAACACACAAACCTTCATCATTTCTTCTTGAATTTCCTTGAGGCTCTGCTCCTTTTCCTCAACACATGTTAGCAAATGTACATTCCTCTGTTCCAACTCTCCTAACTGTTTCTGAAGTTGCTCACAATTTTCTTGACTGGACTGCAAGAGCTGCTGAAACTGCTGACTGCTCTCTTCCTTATCAGAGATAATCTGCTGCATCTCTTGCAAGTAACTATCCTTTTCATTCAAAGTCTGCTGCATGTCGTGTGTTTTTTGTTCAATCTCTGTAAACTTTTGCTCAAGCTGTTGGTAAACCAGTTGCTTTTCTCTCATCTGCTCTCTGACTTCTTCTCGTGACTTTTCCTTCTCTAAAATTTCTTCCTGCAATTCATTGCATAATGTCTCCTTAGCACCAATGTCTTCCTTTAAAGTTTTGATATTTGAGTCCTTTTGTTGGATGGCCTGGTCCCTTTCCTTCAGCTGCTCCTTTAGAGTTGCTATGTCCTGGTGAAGACTGTTTCCCCTGGTTTCTAATTCTTTGTTCAGTTTTCCAATTTCTGAACATTTTTCCTGCAGAGTCTGGTCAAGTTGCAGTTTTTCCTGTCGAAGCTGCAAATATGAAAAGAACAAGTTAAGTTAATTCAACTACTTAATTAATAATAATAATAATATGATTAGAATTATATTTCATTATGAGAGTTGCACAAAAAATGTACATAAAATGTTATGAGCATTGCAATATTAATAAAATGCTTTATGTTTAAATGAAACTAGGTTAAACTAAGTTACAATCAACTAATTCCCACAAAAATTGGTTCTGAAAATAAAGTATATTCTATCCATTACCAATGTGACATTACAGATGTATTTACCTGTTCCAACTGTCCCTGTAACATTGATGCCTCTTCTTGCTTTTTCTGCAAGGACTCCAGGAGTTTCTGAGAGCCAGAGCTGGAGTCTGCAGCAGATGCCTGGAGTCTAGGGATAGAAAACACTGGACATGGACACAACACGCAAGAGACGCATTGCCATTTGGTGAAGAAAACATATTCATATAGTTTTATTTACTATGATCAAATGAAATATATATATATATATTCTTAATTTTGTCTTTGTGAATAATAATAAATTAATAATAATAATAATTTTTTTACCTCTGTAACTCCTCCAGTTTGGGAGCCCTAGCCAGTTCTTCCCTCAGCTCCCTAGTCAATTGCTCACTCCTAACGAAAAAAAATAATTCAATGTCAATTCATTAGCCATCACTTTTATTTTTTTGTATTTGTTAATTTCTGTTTCATTTTTCATCAATAAAATACTACTTACCAGATGTCAAGCAATATTATAAATATGGAGTTTTTCTGATAGTGATCATCTGAAACCATCAATCATGACTTAAATTAACTAAACTAAATTAGTATCTATGAAAATTATTGTATACTTTTTTCACCACAGTTTTAAATAAACATATATCCTATCTACTGCATAAGGCAGAAAAATGCTCAATTAGGCACATATTTTTGTCAAAATTTTGCTAAGCAAAACTTATTTTAAATAGGTGAAACATTAACATTAAAATCTAGAAGGCCCTACTATCATGAATCATGCTTGTTCTTGACATACTGTATCTTCATTAATTTTATAAAAGTGGAACCTTTAAGTTGCAAGTAAAACAAGACGGACTTACTCTTGATATCTAGTCTTTAACTCTTCATAGTCCTTCTCCATCTTTTCTTTCTCTGCCTCTTTCTCCTGTGCCAGCTGGTCCATCATGGTGTGGGTCTGCACCAACTCTTGCTTCAGCACCATCACATCATCAGCACCGGGCCTAACACAAAAGATGAATTAAATAGACAGCAAAGCTGGCAAATGTACAGACACAGAAGATGAATTGAATAATACTTTGTTAAAAAGCACATACAAAAATGGGTTCAGTTCTGTTTTACTCCCTCGCAAGCCTGAAGCGTTGGAGTGTGACTTCACTGAACCCTCCACGGGTTATACACAGAGGCAGTCACCACAGTCCATTCAGTCTGTGGGCAGCCAGGGGTCATCTCTGTCCTGCCCAGAAGAAGGTATGACAGCACACCTTTCAGTTATTATTATTATTATTGTTATTATTATTATTATTATTATTATTACAGTTTAGTAACACTAAATGCCTGTAAAGTTGAAGGCAGGCTAGAAAAATTTCATTTATTTGTCCAGTTACTGGACAAAATATTTCTGTTTTCTATGACCTACTGGATTCTTGTGTCCTGAACAGCCTTTTTTGTATCATTTGTATCATTTTGTAAATATCTCTGAGACATCTACCTTAGGCTAACAATTAATTACAAAGACTATATTATCATAATAATTTAAATTTCAAATTTATTATTACCTTTGAGCAAGTGAAGTCTCTAAACTCTGGGCATACACAGTCTTGTCATTAAGTTGACTCTGAAATGAAATTATGAAATAAATCAACAATACTGAATATAATTCACTCACACACATAAACAAGCTCACTTTGCAAAAATATTAAGATAATAACCTCTTCAAGTTTTACTGAACTGTATTCTTCCATCTCTTCTGTTCCACAAAGCAACAAAATTAATAAATCCAGGAATAACTAGCAGACATCTTACTCCTTATACTTAATTTCACTTAATATTGCCTTCAATGAATTTATATAAAATTCTCTTATCATTTTTTAAAATCATTTTAATCTCTTAAAATTTTATTACTTCAAAAATACAAAAAGAAAGTGTTTAAAATACAAGAAAAAAATTATTATCTTAGAATTTTTATTGATATCGATTCATCTAAAAGGAGAACCTTGAGAGTTAAAATGTGATCTTCCAAAGCAGTCTTCTGTCCCTCTGCTTCATCTGCCCTGGCCTTGTATAACACCACATCCCCTGCCTGGAAAATAATTATTGGGAACAGTCTTGTACATATTAACCGAGCACAATTTTTCATCTTTAATTCACCTTGTATACACACTTGCCAAAGTTTGTATAAAATCATATCAAAGGAATATTATGGATTCTTAACGACTTGTAATAATTAGCATTGATCATAACATAATTTTAAATATTATACACTATAAATTGCTGAAAATAATTTCCTTTTAAGTGTTTGATAAATCATATTGAGATTTCATGATAATATTTTGTTGAAGTAAAGAAACTGATCTGGTTACCAGCTTTGCAGCTTTCTGTTCTATCATCTTCTTTTCCTCATTGTGATCTTTCAGTTTTTGTGCAGCTTCATTCAGCTCTTTTTGCATATTGTTCACCTCCACAGACACTACAGAGGAGGGAAAAAATCACAGCAAGAGTAGAAATTTCCATAAAAATACATTACTCTTTATTAATATTCTATTTGCTAACAAAAAGGCAACTCATTAAATACAGATAGCATATGTTAATAGTCAAGCTGTCAAATAGTTTACAGAAAAATGAAAAAAAATCTTAAGTCAAGGTTGGTGAGAGACAATATCTGCTTACAATGTTGAAATTAATGGCGTTTAAATGGGTATACCTAACAATGTATGGGGATTGCTGAAATTTCCATGAAAATATACATCTTCTTCATATTATTATTATTGCTCCTATAATATAAAGGTTTTATGCACATTGTATGCCTTTCATTAGAAATGGGTACAAATAACATTTTCACTTCCACAAATCACAACCCTCATTGATATTACCCTTTTCTAAACGTTCAACAAAAATCTTCTTCCCAATTACCTTCAAAATTCCAATAAAAACCTTTTTGTTTTGTTTTTTGTTTGTTTGCTTTTTCTCCCCTGCAACCCCTCCCCATCCCAAAAGACCAGGAAGGTGCCATGGATAAGGAATAGTACAGCCATAGACATCAACAAAAATACTTGTACACATATACACAAGCTGGTGGGTTGCTAACAAGATACAATTGGTATGTAAGCATTTATGCTCTGGAGTAAATTTTCATCAGATTCCAATTTTATTGTAGCCAACAGGGTGAAAATACTACGAAAAATTGCATACCTCCATCATCATTTTTGGTCCCTGCTTAAAAAAAAATCATGGGTTATTATTTTTTTGCGAATGCATTCCTCGTGCAGCAAGTATGCTCATAATAATCAACAGAAACTAATCCAGTTTTCTAAGATTTGCTACAATCTATCACACCAGGACAAATGACACCTAATGTGTCACTGGAATCACAACAAGGATGAGGCTACCATTTACTGAAAAAATCAGAAAATATGGCATGGGATCCAGGGGGTTGCCTAGGCCAATGATATTTTTGGCTCCCAAAAAGTCAGAAACCGCCAGTAGTCAGAAAAATCTCATACCTGTTACAAACTATGCACATTTACTACACTAGTAACAACACAGAACTCATGGCAGTAAAATGGTCATTCCTCATAACAAATATAACAAATACTTACACAGTGTTCTGCTCTCTTCTGAAGCCTTCAGCTGCTGCTTCATCATATCCATTTCAACACTGTCCTAATGTAACAGTTAAGAAATATAGTAAAAATAATAATTTTATTTTGTTAATGAATAAATAAATAAATAAACATTCTGTTTAAAATGCAAAAATAAATAATCATGATAATAATCATGTTCAAAAACCATATCAATTCATTATTACTTCTGATATTCTTCATGTTCAATTATCAACTCCTTCCTTTTTTTAGTCTCAGTATGTCTTATATTTTTCTTATATCTTTTTTTTTTTTGCAAAGCATGTTCAGATTTTTGAAACAGACCAATAAATGTCATTATTATTATTATTACCATGGATCCTTTAGTTGGTGATCTTCCACTCTGTAACCTCTCGTTTTCTTTCTTCAGTTCAACTGCATACCATCTTTCTTCCTAAAAAGATTTATACCATATCATGAATAAACATTTCTTTTGGTGTACCTTTAGTGCAACACTGACAGAGACACTTTTTTTTTTACTTTAACATCTCAATACCAGTGCATTTTTATAACTATGATCCAACGTGTGGCTCTGTCATTTTCTGGTGGTTGATTAATCCGATTAACCTCCTATTATTAAAAAATAAACAGTAATGATTGTTTGAGTACATGTTTTTACCTTCAAAGACTTTCTCAAGTCATCTAGCTCTTGCCTTAGAGCCAACACATCCCCAGCTCTGAAAAAAAAATGAGACATTTAAATATAATGCAAGCTATAACAGTACTTGTCCATGCTGACCTTATCATTCTCAAGCTATAACAATACTTGTCTACGTTGACTTTATCATTGTCAAATTATCATAATACTTGTCCAATATCTGCTTACAATGTTGACCTTATCATCGTCAAGTTATCATAATACTTGTCCATGTTGACTTCATCATTGTCAAGTTCTCACAATTCTTGTCCATGCTGACCTTTTCTGTCTCAAGTTATGACTACACTTGCTCATGTTGACATTTTCCATTATAGTAATGTTATCACAGTACTTGTATCACAAGTCTGTTCCAGTTATTGCAATGCTTTTCTATGTTGACCTTATCTGTTCTAATTATCAGAACACCACTTTGCTTCTTAATTGATTTTTAAGCAAGAATGAGAGAGACAGAGAACAGAAATTCAATATAAAATTTAAACAACTTGAGGTGAACTGTACTAGGCATGCAACTCGTATTACAAGCAAATAAATCACTTCACCATATCCAAACTCTGTCAGCCATATATCCCAAAGCTATTTGATACTACTGATAAGTTTTAACATGACAGAAATATATGTAGTGCATCTGACTTGAACCTCTGCACATGTGCTGCACTGGTTCTCAGTAACTGGGTATAAGATATGTGAATGGCTCCAACTCCAGCAAACAATCAATTTAGCCAAATGCTAAAACTGACATAAATTGGCTAAACAAAAAGGGCTTGATTTGACTTATTTTAGTCAAATTATAACCATTTGGATAACAAATTGACAAAAAAGTGGTGATTTGGCTAGGTGAAAAAAATTTGCTAGCGCTACCCCAGAGTTGCAGGCACTGGCAATATGTACAGACACTACTCTTTGTCTGTGCAATAAGAAAGTGGCAATTTTGCTGGATTATATATACAATAGTAATACGTGGGAAACAACCACCTGTTAGCACCTTCACCCATTTTGCATGTGCCATAATTGTATGATAATTTTTTATTTTTTTTTTTGTAAATTACAATAATTATTATAACTTACATGTACCTGTTTTCAGCGAGGCCATCATGCTCCTTCTCGTAATGAGACTGTAAACCTTCAGCTGACTGGAACCCTGTCTTACACATGGGGCAGATAAAACCCTGATTGAAAAGTTAGAACAGTTTCCACTGATAAATGTCAACAGTTTGGTAATTTTGCAGCTGTCTTGCCATTACAATTGTTGTGTTTATTTGAGTAGCATGCCATTTTTTTCTCTGTTTTTAAAACATCAATCAAGTTTTTTTAAGACATAGAAAATAAAATAGACAACTACTTTTAAAATAAACTTGAGAAAAAGTAGTGTATCCACAAAATCTCATATTGACTTTTATTAGACAATATCATCTTATCTGAAGTATCAACATCTCAATTAAGAGAAAGCAAACAATAAGATTAAAATATAAAGATTGGTACTGCACAACATTTTTTTCATTTAGATGAGAATTTTAAGCAAATCCCAGATCTTCCATACAAACCTTATTCTCATCATGTGCATCATCAAAATGCCGCTGCAGTGCCTCGGCTGTGTGGAATGACTGCATACAAATGGGGCACAGGAAACCCTAAAACCAAACACATTGTCTCAAGGTTATTCATCAAGTATTAACTGGAGTATTATCATGTCAATTACTAGTAAACATGTTCATGACAGGTACTATGTACAGAATTCCAGTTTAAATTTCACAGATAGTTGCTGGATTCACCACACTATTGTTTCTTTTGTGTGAAAAAAAGTATAAAATTGGATGTCTATTCTGAATACTGGTTTAAATCAGATTATATAACCACATCAATGGCAGTATGTGCACAACAACAGTAAGTATATAAAAAATTACATTCACAGCATGCAGCATGTAATAACAAATCTGTAAAAAATAATTACTCCCTTAATTCACCAACTTGAAGATTTGTGCTACATATTTATCCTAGCTAGAAGTAGACCAAATGTTTTTGATGTAAAAGTTAGTACTATATTTCAGTCTTTTAAAACTGAAAATTTTTTTTTTTTTTTTTTTTTTTGTAAAACTGAATCCCAGTTATAATGGTTACCAATCTAAGTACTAGTAGTGTAGATTAATATAATTGTTCTACAGCACCCCAAACAAACAGATTAACTTTCTTCATACTATAACCAGTAAGGACTAAAACGGACATATATATGTCTATTTCTAAACATCAAAAACACATTATAATATACTGAAAGGAGATTACAAATCATATTCCTATTTCTACAAAAATCAAACTACAGAGCTTTCCAAACTATCATGCATGAAATAAGTGTAGAAAAATATCAAACCAAGAAGGACTAGAACTATGAGTACAAAACACAGGAAAATGGCCACATTTTCTGGGCAATAACCAATCTAAGGGCGTATTCCCAGACATTTAGATCGATCTATCCCCATGGGGAGTCTCACTAGATTACTGTCAGATAATCCGGCTTAAATGTCCGTCCCGCCTACTACAAGCTGTAAGGGGGTAATTAACTTTCGTGCCCGCTCGGCTGACAGCTATTTAGCGTGAACGCCCAGGGAGTTAGATCAGTCTAGTTTGGATCGATCTAATCTCTGGGAATGGGGTCTAAACCACAGCCCCCTCCACCAGTAAGCACATTATTTTTCTTCTTCACCAAGCAATAATACGCAAAATGCAATTCTGTGAACATGATATTCTAAGAACAATATTTTATTTACAAAAATGTCACATTACAAAAATAAATAAATGAAAAATTATCAATAATTTGATATTTAATAAAATAAATAAATAAATCCAAAAATTGAAATATCAGCCTATACACCAAAGCATGAATGAAGCAATCTATAAACCACATCAGGCAGTTTGTACCAGTATACATCTAATATTTCCATGCTAAAAAACTGGAAAAGAGTAAAACTGTCAGGGCAACGCATTAGATTCCAAGACATCCATGTTAGTATTAAAGTGGTGATTAGCTTCTATGGGTTATACATTGTATCAATGGCAAACAACAGTCCTAGTACTAGTACAACCCACTCCAGTAGAAAAAGGGTCACCACAATGACAAACCTTGGCTTGCTCTTGGTTATGGACAAGGTCAAAATGGCTCTGTAGAGCCTCGGCAGATGACATCTCATTCATACACATAGGACACAAGAAACCCTGATATGGGGAAAATATATCAGAATCAATGCTTTTACTTTGACTGACTAAGGGCAGTATCTGAAGCTAATTCGACCAAATGTACAAGATATACTTAGACATGCTTTTCCTTTCACCCTTTATTTTTCATGTAACTTCCTCCTTTGAATTATAAATGTTCAATAAAAAAGCACTACAACTATGCTAAAAAACTTGCATTACTTTGACCTTAGTTTTCAATCAATTACACACAACATGAATGATCTGCTTATTTTATTAACTTATTTTTTACTTATTGTTCATTTTTTAAAATACCGGAAGTAAACCTTACATTTTAAGGACCAAGTGTTCGAATAGAAAATGGGATAAAACAAACAAACAAAAGTCTCAGCTATACCATCAAGATAAACTGCTTTATTGTACATCTAACAATTATATAGACTTAAGTTGCAATATATTTACATAAATCATGTTGATTATACAAGTATAAAAAAATTAACATAAATTTCTGGCACTAACATATAAATCAACAAGTGATTATTATAACCTATAAAATACTGTGGTTATATCAATAAACTACTGTTTCATTCATAGATCGATTCATTTATGTTTTACCTCTTTATTGTGATCCCCAGTCTCTCGATGTGGTGACTGTGGTGCTGCCCCCTGCTGGGGACGCTGTGGTGAGGGTGGGGGCTCATCTTCCTGTAATTATTGTCAAAATTTCCTTCATTAACACTAGTTCTATCAGTTCATGCTATGAATATACTCAGTATACAGTAAAATAACTACTTATTGCAGTCTGAACCTTTGCAGTAACAGCATGCCAACTGTCAGTGAAACTGAAGTCTGTAAAATTTTGTAACTCCATTTTGTTATTAACAACATACTGTTATTTTCAGACACTTGTGGCTGGAAGGACAAGTGGGCTTAAAAGTTTTGGCACAGAGTGTACTTGCTTACTGAATCAAAGGAAGGTGGCAAAAAATGATATTTTCCATATAGTTGGTGGGCTAATACTAAGTGATTTCAAGGACTGGAATAGCTCTCACTTTCTATATCAGTTTCTTTATGCATTTACCTTAATGTACTAATTATGCATTCAAAAGGCATGTGACATTGAGTGACATTGAACTGTCCACACAAGTTCACAAGTATTATGAAGCAAACACTCACACATTAACAAAAAAAAAAAATAAATAAATATTTTTTACAAGAATAAAAACTGCAAATAACCAAATGATCTACAAATTAAGAAGACAACCAATTCTCACTGACGTCCACTTTTAGTCAGATATTATACTTATTAATTATCTTCGTTCCCCATACAACAACTATTCTCTAGGTATTTATGCGTCACGCCTACTACTACAAGTACACAATTTTACAACCGGTAGGCAAAAGGCGACTTACGGCAGTCACATTAGCTTTATTTTTCAACCTAAAACCATGGTATATATATTCTCTTTGAATGTTTGCAAACAGTAAGACAGGCTGGAAATATATACGGATCTTCTTTTACTCAAAATATTACCTTATCTGCATCTCTTTTGGTGATGTTTCGAAGCCTTTTCAACATCTTGCAGAAGTTTGTGAATAGCTAAAAATAAATGACCTTGACCTGCAAACTGAATTTCCGGAAATGAAACTGAAGAACACAAGGGAGGTTTTATAATATTTTGTACGTCAGCAAGCTATTTATGTTTTGTGTCAGCTTACATATTACACAAGATATTGACATATAGGCTGATTACTTTCAAAAGATAAAAAATTTCAAGCATCGAGCCCGGCTCTTACTGATGCTTTTTATCGATAGGCGTCGCCACCTGATCTAAAGCTTACGCCATCTTCGCTGCTGAAGGTGAAGATGTTGTCCTCTGCACGTTGCCGACTTTTACCACACATTTCTCGGGTAAGCAGTTTACTTTAAAAGGAGGTATTTTACATTTAGACTAGATGTGTATTTTCAAAGTTGAAAAAATATTTTCAAGTGTATGACGCCGCATACTAAATGACTCACAGTGTACAAAGCCGACAGAGGCTAGTCTGTTCTTTTGCTTTCCAACGCGTTTGGACATCGTTGTGTCATTTAAACATCTTCATCGACACTGCGATTTATTTAAATCACTTTGTCATCTGCAACTAGTGTTTTTTATCTGTCGAAGATAAACAGTATAGCTTAATCACACCATTTGTTTATACACTAACGATATTTATGAATTGTAGTGGCTTTATGATTTATGTGTTTTACTCTAGATAGCGCGACATCTGACAGTGACTGAATTTGTGATAAATCAAACGTTTGTTGTTATTTTAGGCGACCAAGACTGTGAAGACCTGGTCATGTACTTCATATGTAATCCAGAGTAGACACTACTCAAATGGAGGTTTGTAAAGATTCCATTATACTGTAATGTTATTTATTCTTTTCTCTTTATTTATTTATTTATTTATTTATTTATTTATTATTTTTTTGTTGTGTGGGTATGTGTGTGGGAGTTAGGGTGATGATATCAATGTATATTATATTCATCTTGATCATAAAAGAAATTTTAAGGAAGCAACAAATTTTTGGTTGGTGTACTTATATCCAATACCAGTAAAATCTGCCAATCATTTGTTGATCATGGTTTTTGTTTTGCACTTGAAGATTATAAGGCATTGGTGGCTAAATCAATCAAAATATTGAAGAGCTTTTGGCACATAATGTCTCGCAGACACTTTGTGATACTAAACACTAATAGCATACATTGCAAATAAAAACATTTATTTTAAGCTACAAATCTTTATGTAAATATTTTGAATTATTGTTATGTACTGTTCTAGAAATGCAAGATCTGGTCGTGATCGGTTCTGGTCCAGGAGGCTATGTTGCTGCTATCAAGGCAGCTCAGTTGGGACTGAAGGTAAAATCCAGTGCATGGCCTGTTTTTGTGTTTTGTGTGTCACTTTTGTTTACATTGACTAGGCTCAGAAGTAGATGTCCAGATGTGCAATTCACAGTAGCAGTGTACAGTAACACCTAAGAATAATTTCATTGCTGTTTTACAAAGTCTGTGATGGTTGATCTAAAAAAGCAAACCTTGCAAATAAAGCCCTTTAAAAGGAGAGTCTTACTATGTCATGTGGAAATGCTTTGTGTGCAGAGCACATCGCCTTCATAGACATAGTTCAACAACTTATTCTACTGACAAAAATTTGAAGCCCAGATATAGATTAACAAAAAATATTGTATATAAACTTCTCTCAGCATTAATATGTGTTTTTAAGGCTTTAAAAATAGCATAAAACGCAACATTTCCCCATTTTCCTTTCAGACCACCTGTGTTGAGAAGGACCCAACTCTTGGCGGGACTTGTCTAAATGTGGGCTGCATCCCTTCTAAATCTCTCCTGAACAATTCCCACCTTTACCACATGGCTCACTCCAATGATCTGCAGAACAGAGGGATAGAGTGTGAGTGGAATATGCATTGTTTTACTGGAATGGATGGGGGAATATTATGCTTTTTCTTTCTTTCTTTCTTGGTAGATTTTGAAATAAAAATGTTTGGCAGCAAATAACTGATTTGTTTTTAAAAAAATGTCTGTTAAATTGTAATAGAAATGGCATATGTGTATTAAATTGTAAACTAAATTCGAATGTAATTTGATAATGTGACAGACTTGATGCTCTCACATTTTTGCAATTTTAATTCAGCTGTAATGATTGGGATAAAGCCATGCCATTGTCTTTGGTTTGTTTCAGTTGATAATATAAGATTAAACATTGACAAAATGATGGAACAGAAGAGGGCATCAGTGAAAGCATTAACAGGAGGCATTGCACATTTATTCAAACAAAATAAGGTAGGTAACGGCTAAGTGACAATAAGATAGATCTCTCACTGCTTTAAGTGCATGATGTTAGAATATTATTATACAGTTGTATGATGTATCATGTAACTTTGGTAAAACATTATCTGATCAAAACAATGAAGTATGCAAATATTTATCCCAGTTGTGGAAGCATTATTTAATTGTGCCTCTTACGACAAATTCCATATAAGATGAATACCTTTATTTATTTATTTATTTATTTATTTATTTATTTATTATGGCTCTCTTTAGGTATAACTCTTGTATTTGAACAGGTAACTCTAGCCCAAGGTTTTGGTAAAATCAGTGGTGCCAATGAAGTAACAGTGGTGAAAGAGGGAGGAGGGGAGGAGAAAATTTCAACTAAGAATATACTGTTGGCTGTCGGGTCTGAAGTCACGCCTTTTCCTGGCATTGAGGTAGGAAGAGTGGGGACATTTGACAGCTAAAAAAATTTAATTTGGAATTTGGTAAAGAAAATTTGTACCTCTAGAAATGAAAATTGCCCAGAGCTGTTTCAAGCTGTCTGGAAGATGTAGCAGTTTACGGGATTATTTTGTAAAGATGGTCTGGTATTTGAGAATGAGCAATTAAAATTGTTAAAGTCATTATATATATTTTTTTTTAAAATTAGTATTAATTTATTTTTTATGACAGTGGTATATGTATTTAATGACCGTTGGATTTATTCCTGTCTTCAGAACATAGATTATATGTAGATAGAATTTTTTTTTCTTTTCAGATTGATGAAAAACAGATAGTGTCATCAACAGGTGCTCTGTCTCTAGAACAAGTTCCTGGCTCTATGGTAGTAATAGGAGCTGGAGTCATTGGAGTAGAATTGGTAGGATTCCTTATGAGTTGGTTTCACAAAATTGCTGGGTTGGCCAGCTGAGTTTAATTTGTTCTTCTAGAAATGATTTAATCCTGGTCCACTGAGTAATGTGTGTTTTGACAGCAGAAAACCATTAAATCTAATGAAAATGACCTTGGTGCGTTGTCTGAGTTTCCATTTTCTAGTCTGTGCCTAGATGGATGCCTTCGTGCGAGGAACAAATTTTAAAGTCTGCTTTGACTTTGACACAGAATGCATCAGTAGTATTCAGTGCAATATTGTGCATGTTTTTCAAAAATATATAACTAAAAAGATACTGAGAAGTAGGACAGAAATGCTGATGTTTTACAACAGCATTGATTTAATTTGAATGGACTGTGGACTTCAGATCCATCCTGATTTGAAGGAGACAAAATTTTTGGCAATGCTACTCCTTTTATTGCCAAGATATAATTTGAGTTTGTACAATTTTAATTCTTAGACTATTAATGTTTAGAAGTGTGTTATGTCCATTCTACTAACTTAAAGTTAACTTTATTTTCAAAGTGTTAATAACAGTTATTATTATTATTATTATTATTATTATTATTTAGGGATCAGTATGGTCCAGGTTAGGGGCAGATGTCACCTGTATTGAGTTCCTGGGTCACATCGGAGGACTGGGCATCGACATGGAGGTGGCCAAGAACTTCCAGAGATCCCTCACTAAACAGGGACTCAAGTTCAAACTCAACACAAAAGTCACCCAGGCCGAGAAAGTGGGCGACAAAATCAGGGTGTCCTTTGAGGGGGTGAAAGATGGCAAAGGCGACCAGGTAAAATGATTAAACTTTTAATTTCAAATTTGTCAGTTAATTGAAGTATTTTTCCTTCAGGTTATATCTGTGCACATATCTTTAGCTACCAGGAATAACTGCTTGCAGCCAGTTTTAATTGTTAATTATCATAATTTTGATGGATTGATGGTCTGCTTCTAAAACTTCAGCCCATGGGTTACTCTGACAAGTAGAATGGAGAAAATTACTGGTCTGAATCAAAATTTACTAATCCTGAGATGAAATCTATAAAAAACGAAAATTTAATATTAAAAAATTGCACAACTGTAATCGGGCAGGTAACTATGAAGGATTTATTTTATTGATATTCATTTGTTTATTTGTATGTTTTTACTAGTCCAATGTCAAATCAACTAGTCAGATGGCAAGCTAACACCACAGACTAAACTGACGTACTTTTATGTATTGATTTTCAGATTGAGTGTGACACCCTACTAGTGTGTATTGGAAGACGGCCCTTCACTAAGAACATTGGCCTGGATAGCGTGGGCCTACAGCTGGATGAGAGAGGGAGGATAGATGTCAATGACAGGTTCCAGACTTTAGTACCTAAGTATGTATGAATAAGTTTGTGAACTTCACATTGATTTGATGTCTTTTTAAAGAATATATATATATATATAAATATATATATAAAATCTACAGTACACCACATATAAAGTATAAATTGGGAGTTTTTTTTTAAATGGGACGGTGCCTAGATTATATAAGGCCATCAAGGTTGTTTGTTTGTGTTTTTTGTATGTTTTAACTTTCTGTCATTATTTTATTTATCTCATTAGGCCATCAGGTGGGGTACTGATGAGGAGACTACATGTTGCTCATAAAGGAATGTAGAAGTGTATGTTTACTTTGTATGTGGAGTTTATTAACACACTGTTTTTCATATTACAATAAGCAGGGATGAGATTTTTCCAACTGATGAAAATGAATGAAAGATGTGTGTATGGTAAAAAAAAAAAAAGACGGAATAAAAATTTGCTTGACAGCATTAAACAGTTTTTATTTTATTTCTTTGTTTGTATTTCAGTATTTATGCTATAGGTGATTGTATCAAAGGTCCT